GCTCCGCTCATCCGATAGTGGCAAACTCTCGACACCACGTGTTTGCCTTGAGACTTACGGAAAGCGCACTTTCGCATTTGCTGGTCCAACAATTTGGAACGCCCTTCCTGTCGATCTTAGAAACAACCAGACACTGGAGTCCTTTAAATCCGATCTAAAGACACATCTATTTTGCAAATACCTTCTTGGATGATTGTCTACCTTATTTTCCAGTTAATGCACAAATGGTTTGTTTCGTAAAGGGCTATTCAGTTAGTGTTTTTATATCACGTTTCATGTACATGTACTTTGGCAATGCATTTGAACAAGCACTTTTTTTTAATACTCGTTAATGGGCCCTTAAGATATAGAAGAAGAAGAAGATATAAAACAAAGAATTTGTAACATCCACAATCGATAAACAAAATAAAAGAGACAAACAGTACAATAGTCAGAAATTGAATAGGGACCCAAAAATTACTGAGGAATATCAACAGAAGATTGAAACTCAACTAGAATTATCCAAAAGAGAATCAGCCAGCAACGTTGATAAAAACCAGCAATGATAAAAGATGAAGCAAATAGTTAAAAGGTTAACAGAGGAAACGATTGGATTTAAACTGGCAGTGAAAAGAACAGTATGGTATGACGCAGAATGCAAAAAAAAACAACAAACTTATAGAACTAAGAAACAAAGCTCGGCTAATGATGCTGCAAAGGGAGACAAGAAGAACACGGCAATTATATAATGAAGCAAGAAGGGTGGCCAGCAAAATTTTCAGAATGAAAAAACGTGTTTGGGAAAAATAAAAAAAATATGGAGATAGAAGAGTTGGCAAAAGAAAGAGATGTGTGAGGAATGTCATCTGAAGATAAAGCAGGAAAAGAATGGCTTTCAAGCAAGATCCCACATGCGTGAAAGTACGGATAGAGTATCACAGTGAGCAGTAGAGTACTAAAGAGATGGACACAATACTTTGAAGACTTACTGAATTGCTCAGGTGGAGGAACTAGTGAGGATTACGCTCTGCCACAAGGAGGACCGTACCCACTGGTGAACCAACCAACATTAAATGAAATAAAAGATGTAATCACCACTATGAAAAATAACAAAACCCAAGGAATAGACCTTATCTCTGCAGAACTGATAAAGCTAGGTGGTAACGAACTGCATAGGCAAATACATGAACTTATATCCAGAATCTGGCAGGAGAAAGAAATGCCAACTGAAATGGACACGGCACTATCAATGCGGATTCCGGCAAAATAGGTCAACCACGGATCATATTTTAACTATAAGATGTCTCTTGGAGAAATGTTACAAATATAACATCGACATACACCAACTATATGTGGATTACAAAACAGCATACGATAGCGTAAACAGGAATTACTTATGTAACGCTCTGCAAGAACTTGGAGTACCTAACAGGCTTTCTCGGCTCATACCTTTGACAATGGCTAACTCCAAAAGTAGAATCAAGGTGCAGGGAGTATACTCAAGGGAGTTCTCAGTTAATCGAGGCCTCAGACAAGGAGACTCACTACGATGTGGAGACGGATATACAACTTTAACATCACACTAGAAAAAAGTTATTAGAAGCATACACGTGAGCACCACTGGAACTATAACAAACTACTTCCAGAGAGGTATTACAGAACAACAACCATCAGGAACCTTATATACATTGGAGTACCTGACATATGTAGACGATATATAGGGTAGAAAACGAAATGACATAATTAAAGCATTCAGGGAACTTGAAAATGCCCCAGTCAAAGCTGGTCTTGATATAAATGAACCGAAGACAAAATATATGATAATGTCAAGAAACTACCATGCTGATGATAACATCAATATAAACAACCACACATTTGAGAGAGTGGCTACATTCAAATACCTAGGTGCAACTATAAACGAGCACAATGAGATAATGTCGGAGGTGAAAGAAAGGATAATAGCAGGCAATTGTTCCTATTTCAGCTTACAAAAGCTCTCAAGGGCAAGTAAGAAGACAATATACACCACTATCATAAGACCAGTAATAACGTACGCTAGTGAGAGTTGGACCCTAGCCAGAAGAGCAGAGAACCTGCTCAACACATGGGAGAAGAAAATCCTCCGCAAAATATACGGCCGAGTGATATATGATATCTGGAGAATTCGTGCGAACCAAGAACTTGACCATTTGTGCAAAGACCCACCCATTGTCACAATGATTTAAAAAAGGGCAGACTACGCTGGGCAGGACATGTTGAAAGGATGCCAGAATGTAGAGCAGCAAAAGCTATATACAGGCAGAAGCCTAGGGGCTGACGACTCACTGGTCGCCCAAGGCTGAGATGGATCGACGATGTGGAGACGGATATACACCAGTTGGGGGGGGTCGTGCATGGAGGCGGAAAGCCATGGATCGCTCCGAATGGAAGGATGTGTTGGAGCAGGCCAGGGCCCTACATGGGCTGTAGAGCCACTGATGATGATGACTTTTTAAAAATATATTTTCTAATGATACGCATCCAACAAGAAAATGTTATACTAAATTTCTCAAAGTAAGTAGACCTATCTAAACTAAGGTTGAAAATCACCTACTGTTGTAAAAAAACTTTTTCTTTCAAAACTGTATCCATGAAATGTAATATTATTTTATGTCTCATTAGCATTTTATATATATATATATATATATTTTTTTTTTTTTTGAATTTGACAAGATAGAAGTTGTTTATTAACTTATATTAGTTCAACACTAGAATTGTTTGTTTTCTGAATCGTGGTAGGTATTTTACATTTTCAAAGGTGTTGATGCTAAATCAAATATTAATAAAGTGTTAAATACGTTAATTGATTCAGACTAGTGTGAGGCGCGTTTAGCTGAGGAATGAGGTGGGTAAAGATCAATACAAGATCAGTGGCATTGGTGACAACTTGATGGCTGATATTGTCCTGGTCACTACAGTGGCATTGGTGGCAACTTGGTGACTACTATTTTCCTGGTCCCTACAGTGGCATTGGTGACAACTTGGTGCCTGATATTGCCCTGGTCCCTACAGTGACATTGGTGACAACTTGATGGTTGATATTGTCCTGGTCCCTGCAATGGCACTGGTGACAACTTGATGGCTGATATTGTCCTGGTCCATGCAATGGCACTGGTGACAACTTGATGGCTGATATTGTCCTGGTCCCTACAGTTGCATTGGTGACAACTTGATGGCTGATATTGTCCTGGTCCCTGCAATGGCACTGGTGACAACTTGATGGCTGATATTGTCCTGGTCCATGCAATGGCACTGGTGACAACTTGATTGCTGATATTGTCCTGGTCCTACAGTGGCATTGGCGACAACTTGGTGGCTGATATTGTCCTGGTCCCTACATTGGCATTTGCGACAACTTGATGGCTGATATTGTCCTGGTCCCTGCAATGGCAATGGTGACAACTTGGTGGCTGATATTGTCCTGGTCCCTACATTGGCATTGGTGACAACTTGGTGCCTGATATTGTCGTGGTCCCTGCAATGGCACTGGTGAAAACTTGGTGGCTGATATAGTCCTGGTACCTACATTGGCATTGGCGACAACTTGATGGCTGATATTGTCCTGGTCCCTGCAGTAGCAATGGTGAAACTTGGTGCCTGATATTGTCCTGTCCCTACAGTGGCATTGGTGACAACTTGATGGCTGATATTGTCCTGGTCCCTGCAGTGTTATCGGTGACAACTTGACGGCTGATATTGTCCTGGTCACTACAGTGGCCTCGGTGACAACTTGATGGCTGATATTGTCCTGGTCACTACAGTGGCCTTGGCGACAACTTGATGGCTGATATTGTCCTGGTCCCTGCAGTGGCATCGGTGACAACTTGACGGCTGATATTGTCCTGGTCACTACAGTGGCCTTGGTGACAACTTGACGGCTGATATTGTCCAGGTCCTACAGTGGCATTGGCGACAACTTGGTGGCTGATATTGTCCTGGTCCCTACATTGGAATTGGCGACAACTTGATGGCTGATATTGTCCTGGTCCCTGCAATGGCAATGATGACAACTTGGTGGCTGATATTGTCCTGGTCCCCACAGTGGCATTGGTGACAACTTGACGGCTGATATTGTCCTGGTCACTACAGTGGCCTTGGTGACAAATTGATTGCTGATATTGTCTTGGTCCCTACACAAATGAAGAGTTCTAAAAAACATAAATCATTTAGAAGCCAAGCTGGTGTTGGCGTTGTAACTCGTGAAAATAGAAATGAATTAGTTAAACACTATTAGATAGTCTAGAATATTATATAGGCATGAGTGTGTTATAATCATAAGTCGTTACATCATACTGTACCTAGAAATAATAATACTTGAACCAACTATCTGAGTGGTGAGCTAGGACTGTTGCCAACTTGGGGGGGGGGGGGGGGCATGCTAAGCTCTTTTTGACACCCCCTTCCACAAAAAACTTTCTGGATATGGCAAAAAAAAAAATCTCCCCACCATAGAAAAGCAAAAATAGTGCCGCCTGGGACGGACTGTCTGTTCCGCACACCCTTCCTACGTCACTGAACACTCTGCTCCCAATTTCTTTTCTTTTTTTTTTCCCTCTCTTTTTCTTTTCATCGAAAAAGACATCAGACATTACGTGTAACTCACGCATTTCAGCATAAGGAATGTTTTACCTATTTTGGCAGCCGTGTCGATAGGCCGCCGTGAGTATTCACTCCCCACCCCCACCCCCCTCTACCCCAAAGCCCCCGGGTGTACATCTTCCTTATCCACTGCTACTTCTACTACCACTACTTATAATATCTACAGTAAACGATTTGTTGGCTGGGAGCTATGAATTATGGATGCAGTTGCCCCACGTTGGCAAAACGACACCCCCCCCCAAGAGAAAGTGAGAGCCGAGATGCATCACTCAACAGAGCGCGAGTGAGGTGGGGGCGCATGAATAAAGAAGCCGCCGACCCCCCATAAAAAGCCATGACTGTCCCAATCTTTGGTTCTCAGAGAAAGCGCAAATAGAAACCAGCATCTCAGAAAGTCAAAGAGAACAACAACAGCAAAATTCTTAAGTACTTCAAAAAAAAACAAATTAAAAACTTCTTAAAAAAAAAATAAAAAAAAACACAAAAAAAAAAAAAAAAAAAAAAAACCCAACAAAAACCGTGTTTTAAATTACGCTTTCAGAACCAAGATGTCTGCCCTTACCGATTTCCAACGAAAGAAAATACTCAACCTCTTCGAAAATCTTTATGGTAAGTCATATTTCATTTACCCATTCTATGAAAATACCCGTTTTGTGTATAGATATAAACATATTTATTTATTTTAAATCGATAAGCTTTAAAAAACCACGTCAGAGGTAGGCCATATCAGATATCTCCCCCCCCCCTCTCCCGGATTTCTGCACTTTAGACCTATTGCTTGTTTAAGTTCGAGTTTGTTTATGTAACGCTGTAAACCTATATAAAAAAAAAACAAAAAAAAACCAACACTTCTTTCATTAAAGTTACCATTCAACTCTTGCGTATTTAGAGAGATTTAACAGTGAACTCCATGAAGTTCGACTACATTAAAGTAAATTATTTTTAGGCAATTTTGTTAAAATTAAAAATGTGGTTTTGGCGGAAAAAAAAAAAAAAAGAAGACGTCACAATACATTTGTCCTGCAAGTTAAAAGCCTATGGTTGTATTGTACAAATTTTCTTAAAGTTTTGTTCCGCGCAAACAGACCCAGGTTTTGCGTATTTAGAGAGATTTAACAGTGAACTCCATGAAGTTCGACTACATTAAAGTAAATTATTTTTAGGCAATTTTGTTAAAATTAAAAATGTGGTTTTGGCGGAAAAAAAAAAAAAAGAAGACGTCACAATACATTTGTCCTGCAAGTTAAAAGCCTATGGTTGTATTGTACAAATTTTCTTAAAGTTTTGTTCCGCGCAAACAGACCCAGGTCTGCAATAATTATATTTCGTCAGCATGAGCCAAAGAAGCGAGATAAATCAGTTCGATGTTTATTCTTTTAAGTCTCCGATCAAAAGTACTTATAAAAAAAAAAAGATTTTCTTGTTCATGAAACACGTCCCTAAATGGTTGAAAGGATTTTAAATTACCTTTTTACATTCTTCCCATATTACTTTTAAGACTTTTAAACTATAAATACATTTTAAAAAACAAACTATTGTGAATTTTAAATTTTTTTAAACAGACTTAAAACGACAACAAAAAAAAACTAAAAAAAAAAAACCAATGGAAAACATTAGCATTGGTAACAAATTGAAAGATTGCTAACAAATTATCTGATCCCGTATTAAATTTGGTTTTATGACATATTGAAGTTTAAGGTCAAAGAAAAACAAAATTAAATCGGACGCCGGTCCGTGACGCATTGGGAAAATTTGTCCACCGGTCCGCGACGCAATGGGAAAACGTGTCCACAGGTCCATGACGCAATGGGGAAACTTGTCCACCGGTCCGTGGCGCAATGGAGAAACTCGTCCACCGATCCGTGACGCAATGGGGGAAATTGTCCACCGGTCCGTGACGCAATGGGGAAACTTTCCCACCGGTTCATGACACAATGGGGAAACTTATCCGCCGGCCCGTGACGCAATAGGGAAACTTGTCCATCGGTCTGTGACGCAATGGAGAAACTTGTCCACCGATCCGTGACGCAATGGGGGAAATTGTCCACCGGTTCGCCAAGCGTAAAAGTTCGGGAAATGCCGATGCTGTGTGACCTACTTGTCATCTGGCTAATTTGCTCCGAGTTTATGGAAAGAAAAAAAAATCTACAACGCGCATGTGCTTCTGAGCTCTGACTTTCTATAGAAAAATAAAACTTTAAAATTACACTGCGGCTGAGCAAAGAATCTCATCCATTATGCTCTATCCGAATAGGACCGTGGCCGAGGGAGTGCGGCGCCCGGGGTGAAGCCTGAAAAATGTCACCCGCCGCTAAGTAGAACATGAGTACCACCATAGTGTCGGACCAGTGAAAAGACAATTTTGGCGCACCTCGTGTTTTTGAATTACATATTATCTCGTTTATTTCACTTTAAAAGATCTTATCTGAAGACAATTTTGGAGCCCTCGTGTTTTTGAACTACATATAATCTCGTTTATTTCACTTTAAAAGATCTTATCTGAAGACAATTTTGGCGCACCTCGTGTTTTTGAACTACATATTATCTCGTTTATTTCACTTTAAAAGATCTTATCTGAAGCCAATTTTGGAGTCCCTCGTGTTTTTGAACTACATATAATTTCGTTTATTTCACTTTAAAAGATCTTATCTGAAGACGATTTTGGAGCCCCCTCGTGTTTTTGAACTACATATAATCTCGTTTATTTCACTTTAAAAGATCTTATCTGAAGCCAATTTTGGAGCCCCTCGTGTTTTTGAACTACACATTATTATGTCGTTTATTTCACTATAAAGATCCTATCTGAAGACGATTTTTGCCCCCCCCCCCCACTGATGTTGTCGCAAGGGCGGGTTCTCCTTTAACACTCACCCCACTTATCTCGCTCGGCATTATATATAACCGAAGCTCAGTTAGAACTAGATCTTATCTGAAGCCAATTTTGGAGCCCCTCGTGTTTTTGAACTAAACATTATTATGTCGTTTATTTCCTTATAAAGATCCTATCTGAAGACGATTTTTGCCCCCCCCCCCCCACTGATGTTGTCGCAAGGGCGGGTTCTCCTTTAACACTCACCCCACTTATCTCGCTCGGCATTATATATAACCGAAGCTCAGTTAGAACTTAACACCTACAATTGTCATATGTTATATACAATTCTATTTTAGACTCCGAGGTCTAGATTCTAAGGCTACCAAGCCAATGTGGTCTAAACAGCTTTGAATGTATCTCTTATATGCATCAGCTTACTCCTGTGTTATAAATCAATTTCGTACTATGCAGACAAATAAAATAGACTTCAGAGAATTAAAAAAAAGAGAACGAAAAAAAAAGAAATCTATTTAAATTATGTATTTAATTCATATGATGAATATGTGTTCCCATTACTTAAATTAACGGACCACCGTAAACTATGTTGATCTCAACATGTTCAGATTTTCATATGTGGGCCTTTTTGTTAATGATTCCTAGTCACAGATGCAGAATTTTTTATTTTTTTTTAAATGTATCTCTCTCTATGTATATGTGTGCGTATGGACTGCGTTAGTATTGTAGTAATATTTAACTGTTCCCTGATAGGGTCGCTTAACCAAATGGTAATTACGAATGAAAGAAATGGTCCGTGGAGTCTTGTCTGAAATGTGTTTCTATTTAGCAGAACCTTATTCCAATGAGATTGATGAGAAGTCCAATTACAATGTTATCTGCGCATAGTATCACATATTTAAATTTGTTTCTTTTTTTTTAGTGTTGTTTTCAGATTGTGTCTGATCCGAAAAGCGATATTTTGTGTCGTCTATCGTAAGAGGTCGTTTAAAAAAAAAAAAAATCCCCGACCCTTAAAATCAAATCCGAGATCACTTTGTCTAACCAGGTGGGAATTCTGCAATGTGCATACATTAACAAGTTTTCGTATCGCATTATCCAAGTCTGGTCGCTGCATCTACACTACAATACCGCACCTGTATAGATTTCAGTAGGATTATGTGACATTGGTCGAAATCGTTTCCTGGTGTATGTTTATGATCTACTCCGATGATCTATGTCCTGGCATGCTACAATAAGACAAGGGAAAAAAAAAAGGGGGGGGGGGGCAAGTGTGGTTCGGATAACCAACGTTTCGGAAACAGCGACTTTCCGTAAATTGACGCCGTATTCTATTTTACAAATTATAATACGAGTGAATATTTCATCCTTTGTCACGCGTTCATATTTCGCTGTAACGTCCCTGCTGAACGTTGTTCCCTTTAAGTCCTTCACTTATTTTATATCATTTGTTCATTTCTTTCCTTTTTTCTCTATCAATCGTTCTCGCTTTCTCGCCCTTTCTTTTCTTTCTTTCTTTTTTCTTTCTTTCACACTTTCTCGCTTTTTTTCTTTCCTTTTTCTTTCTTTCTATCTGTCTCTCTTTCTTTCCTACTATCTATATTTCTTTCCTTCTTTCCTTCTTTCCTTCTTTCCTTCTTTCCTTCTTTCCTTCTTTCCTTCTTTCCTTCTTTCCTTCTTTCTTTCTTTCTTTCTTTCTTCCTTTCTTTCTTTCTTTTATATTAAAGTATGAATGTAATTTTGAAAACGTACAATATAAAAAAAAAATACAATTTTTCCCTGATTTTTTTTCTTCTAAATTCTGGTGTTTATTAAACAAAAAAAAAATATTTTTTTTGTTGAAAAATAAGATTGAAAAGTCACCCTTGAAATGTTCGTGAAAGTTCTTGATGATGTTGCTATTGATTCCTTTTCATCGTAAAATAGAGGAATGTGTACGCGAAGATAAAAACAAACCTGAAAACGTCAATTGTTTTCTATTGTTAAATGACGAGACGGGTACCTCTATTCGAATACAACTTTTTTGTTTTTTTACAGTAACACTACTGATAGAATTGTTAGTTACTACGGTCCAGGATTTCAATGTTGCAATTAAATTTTTTTTTTCCCCTTGAGAAGGAACTTAGATGAAGTGTTTTAAGCCAGTTATATATCATTTATTCGGAGCCTTTATATATATAATTATATATATATTTATCGCATTATTGATTTTTATGAAACACAAACAAACAAACAAACACACAATCAGACAAACGACAAAACAAAATATTGTTCAGTCCGTGATGGATTCTGTGGGATGGAAATATTTAGACGTGGATGGTCTTTTGCATAGTGCCTCGCCCATTACAAAGCCCAGTGAACCTATTGGTGTCCATTTGTGAATTGTTTTCGTTCGGCCACAGTACCATCTATTCACCCATAACTGCAAGAGCAATGTGAACTTCTTGTAATCCAATCTTAAGTTGAAGCTCTTGGGGAAGGGGGGGGGGCTAGAGTCAAGTATTTTATGCTGAGTCGTTCTGCCATCAAAAAGTCACATGGATGACGAAGAACAAGGTCATTGCAAGCAGTTTGGCCTGGGACTGAGGGATCGAGGGGGAGGGGGTGACGACCGCGACTCCATCCATTATTAAATCACCACAGCAATCTGTTGTATAATTACATCAGCGACTCCACACAGTATTTTTTTTTTGCACAGGCCGCACAATTACATCACCTAGTAACCCCGTTACATCATGACGTTAGAGGCTGCCGCTGCTGCTGCATCACTGCTCCCTCGGACTTCACTTGCTGCCTCACTTCTTGCAAGGCCACGTCAAACAGCACAATCATCGTTACGTCACACAACTTAGAAATCCCTCCCCCCCAGCCCCCCCCCCCCGGCCCCCCCCCCCCCGGGCCGCCGCCCCACGGCACGTGTTTGTCATTACCAACAAAGAGGAGACAAGATATCATCAAGAATGCAAGATAAATGTAACATTGGTGGTTTCCCCTTACCCTTGGACTGGTGGCTCCGTCTTGGGGATGGTTGGGGGGGGGGAGGTACGGGGGGAATATTTGCTTACGCGGGGGGAAAAAATCTCTTAATTAATTCCAGCCAAAGAAGAAATGTACATGATGCGAGCTTTCTTGGCAAGTCAGCCCAGTGCCGGTAATAAGTATTTTGCTGGAAGATAATCAGATTAGCGTACGGTGATGCTTAATGCTGGCAGATACTACGGGCTCGCTGGATTCTTTAGTACAGCTTCATGGAACATATCTGATCGGGGGCGGCTACGACAGCAAGCGGGGTTCTTGATGCTGGCAAATACGTTCTCACTAGATTTTTTAGTACAACTTCATGGTATATCTATATTATATCTGACCGAAGCTGCGACAGTACGCGGGTTCTTAATTTTGGCAGATACGGTCTTACTAGATTTTTAGTACTGCTTCATTGTACATATCTGATCGGGCAGGAGGGGGGGGGCGCGATAGTACGGTAGAACAAATAAGAATGGGGAGGGGTGGTCAAATTTTTGTGAGGGGGGGGGGGGAGGTTGGTTCTCCATGGTGGCTGATGGCGTTAAAGTACAACTCCTCGTATCTGATCAGACTGCAACGTTGTGACGCGTCAAGACACAAAATTGAAAAAGAAACATATAAAAAATGAGACAGTTTTATTTTATTTCGTGTTTTTTGTGTTTTTTATATATTAAAATTTCGTGTGAATTGTTAATTATTTGCTATAGTTTTTATATAGAATAGAAAGAAGGGGGGAAAAAAGATGGAGAAACATGTGTTTCGTTTTTAATTTTGTATGATACCACGCTGAAAATCTTTATGATACAACGGCCCAACATTTGTATGATGCAACGATCCAACATTTGTATGATACAACGACCCAACATTTGTATGATACAACGACCCAACATACGACCCAACATTTGTATGGTACAACGACCCAACATTTGTATGATCAACGACCCAACATAGGACTCAACATTTGTATGATAAAATGACCCAACATATGTATGATACAACGATCCAACATGTATATGATACAACGAACCAACATAGGACTCAACATTTGTATGATAAAATGACCCAACATTTGTATGATACAACGACTCAACATTTGTATGATGCAACGACCAACATTTGTATGATACAACGACCCAACAATTGTATGATACAACGACTCAACATTTGTATGATACAACGACCCAACTTTTGTATGAAAAAACGATCCAACATTTGTATGATCAACGACCCAACATTTGTATGATACAACGACCCAACATTTGTATGATACAACGACCCAACATTCGTATGATACAACGACCCAACATTTGTATGATACAATGACCCAACATACGACCAAACATTTGTATGGTACAACGACCCAACATTTGTATGATCAACGACCCAACATAGGACTTAACATTTGTATGATAAAATGACCCAACATATGTATGATACAACGATCTAACATTTGTATGATACAATGACCCAACATATGACTCAACATTTGTATGATAAAATGACCCAACATTTGTATGATTCAACGACTCAACATTTGTATGATGCAACGACCCAACATTTGTATGATACAACGACCCAACATAGGACTCAACATTTGTATGATAAAATAACCCAAAATTTGTATGATACAACGAAAAAACATTTGTATGATACAACGACCAAACATTTGTATGATACAACGACCCAACATTTGTATGATACAACGACCCAACATTTGTATGATACAACGACCCAACATTTATATATTATACAGCGACCCAACATTTATATATTATACAACGATCCAACATTTGTATGATACAACGACCCAACATTTCTATGATACAACGACCCAACATTTATATATTATACAACGACCCAACATTTGTATGATACAACGACCAAATTACCTGGTTGTCCTTAACTACTACCAACAATACTCATACGTTACGTCATAAGATCAGCACCAAGTCATGTAGCATGCACTGCTGGCAGTGTTCCACCCACGCCTACACACACACACACAAACACACACACACTGACACACACACCGACACACACACTGACACACACACACACTGGCACAAGCTAGAACACGGATTATCTCCCATTAATTTCGCTGTTGCCACCGTTTACCTGATCTAAGGAGATTTATCTCTAGAGGGGAACATCACCGCAACAAACAAAAATAATAGGAAAAAAAACCCCACAAAAAGGGAGAAATAAACCCTAACAACGAAGGAGTTCGATCCTGTACTTATTTGTGCGCAGTATTCCCAACACAGACAAGATGCATATCAAATAGACCAGCGCTCTCTGGTGGTAGTCATTAACAGAGGTGCACAGCGTCATCACGATACAAGTGATAGTGGCGATTTATGGTGTGTGCGATCATCGTGAGGGTGCGCAGCCGGGGTGGGGTGGGGAGAAAGTGGTGGAAGGGAGCAGGGTTGGGGAAGGGAGGGGGTCGGGGGAAGGGAGCTGGGGTTGGGGAAGGGAGTGGGAGGGGGGGGGCTGTTTTCTAACAACATTCTTGACATGCGCCAAAACCAACAAAAGACAAATGAGGATTCATGGGTTGATGTTTGATTCCGTCTGCTGAAAACATGACGACAAGACGTGAGTAATCCCCTTTTCTCTCCCCCCCCCACACCCACACACATCACCCTTCAACCCCAGCACACCCTAATGAGTGAGGACGGTATATTTATACATACTCAAAGACATATGGTGTGGGGTAGCGATACTTAATGGTTGATACATTATAAATAAATATTATAAGATATGTTTATGTCAATAATCACTTGTCATGATTCTCATAGGCCGTACGTAACGCAGTGTTCAGTAAGCACGTCAAATAAAAACACACAAAGGAGCTAACACTGAACAGGACCATCAGAAAGTGCGTCACTAAAATGTGTGTTTCGACCAGTAACTTTAGGAGTTGGGAAGTTAACGCACGGCCTCCGCAGTTGTTTGGCTGGCGGTTTCTTCTTTTTTAAAAATAATGTACAGTCAATATACGTAATCACTGATTCTAAATAGGCTCATGTACACATACTTTGTTGTTGTTTTTTTTTTTTTTTTTTTTTTTTTTTGCCATAATAAAGTCCGGTATAATAAAATAATGTACAGTCAATATACGTAATCACTGATTCTAAATAGGCTCATGTACACATACTTTGTTGTTGTTTTTTTTTTTTTTTGTTTTTTTGTGCCATAATAAAGTCCGGTATAAAATAGTAAACGTTGAAGGAATTAATTGGCAACATATAAAATATCGGCGAGTAATATTTTCTTTTCGGAAAATGAAATCGTCTTGATTTAAGTCTGGTGTACAAAATATTCGGTTTATTAAAAGGGGTTGGGACACAAGAATATTTAATATAGTTCGTGGGCGTGGAATAAAAAGTGTGCATTCACGTATCATGGGGGGGAGGGGTGACGCCAGAAGCGTAATATATATAGGAGATTTTTTGCCCTTTTATTTTTTAGTATGCCGTATGTAACCTTAAGCCATAGCTTTTTTAAACATTGCAAGCCCAAATCCAGCACTGGGTAAAATGGATGTACAATTATTAAAAAAAGAAATAGTTGAAGCCTGCCAAAGTTTCTTATGATACACAGGACTTGTCCACGCATGGCATCATGAAACGTTGTCTTAAAAAGAATTATTTCGTCAACTTTCGTCTCAAATAAGATGACCAGAATTTTAATAAAATGAGACATCTAGACTAATATAGAAAGCTTGTAACACACAGGGACATCATTTGGGGCATTCCCCCCCCCCTGAATTTGCAGATTTTTATTTAAATTCCTCATGTAAAGTTACGCCTCCAGGAATAAACAACCTAACAAGACCCACTAATTTTTTATTTTTCATCCCCCCCCCACCACCTTTTAAAAGATCTGAAATTACGCACCTGGTAATAGCTCACAAACTGAATAAACATCCTTTACTTTAAAAAAGTATTTGAATAAAAAAATGTTGCAAAACGAAAAAAAATAAAAACTTGGATGATAATCGTGCCCTCTTCATCGCAAATACCTAACTTAGGACCGAAAGGTTTAAATAATTCTTTTGTTTCCCCAGTCTGTACGAATTTAACAGAGTGCTCCCTACAGCGATTACAAAATCTTAACGATCACTAATTGAGTCATTGTTGTCACCAAAGGAGTTCATCAATGGTCTATGTCTAGGCTAGAGAAATTATACTTAGGACGTCCTGTGTTTCATTAGTATAATTGTGCAATTTTGTCTCGGTTATGTTAAAATGAATCCGTACAATGGATTTTTTTTTTTAAAGTACGTTTCCGTTTGGATCCATAGGGAATCTTATCCTATTTAATCTTATCTTATCTAATCTTAGATAATCTAATCTAATCTTATCTTATCAAATCTTATCTAATCTTATCTTATCAAATCGTATCTAATATTATCTTATCTAATTTTATCTAATCGTATCTTATCTTAAATTTAAAATAAAATATTGCGAAGAAAGCCCACACCGTATATTACAAAGTAAATAAAAAAAAAACTAAACCTTTTGAGCTTATTCCGTGAAGGTTCTCGAAACAATTTTAAATCATTTATATATATATATATATATATATATATATATATATATATANATATATATATATATATATGTATATTATATTGCATTATTTTATTTTATTTACAACTTTTTTAGTTCAGGCAATAATTTAGGACTTTAAAATTGATAAATGTTAATTTTCTCATTTCTTTGTCAATTTCAAATACGTTTTGAAATTATCAAGTTTAGCCACACTTGACGAATAAATCTTGTTCTCACTTACAAATTTTGTTTACCGTTGTGGATTTTGGCGCACTTGTCTAAATATTATATATAATTTTATTTATGTTACACAGCAAGCACAATCGAACACGATCTATTGACCTCCTCAGCGGAGGAATCTACTTAACTCTGTATATATTTTTAAATATATAATATTCACATAGAGAGAGAGAAGGGGGGAGGAGAGTGAGAGGAGAAAGAGAAAGAAAGAAAGGAAGGAAGAGAGAGAGAGAGAGAGAGAGAGAGAGAGAGAGAGAGAGAGCGAGGGGGATTAAGAAAGAAGGGGGGAGGTTAAAAGGAAGTAACCTTGATCTAAAGAAAGGAAGACGCCCTTTTTTTTTCCATTTGACGTCATAAAAATGTCTGTCGTTAGGCTGTACATTTATTTGGAAAGGGGAAAGCACCCGCGTATTGGAAATTTCCCCTTTTCGTGTTTGTAATAATGCTAGCGACTGCTTCAGTGGCGTAGCTACAGTTGTGCCGCTCGCAACGTCGGGCCTTAGGTTAACTTTCGCCCTGTGTAAAGCAGCCGTTCGGCGCCCCGCTTCCCTGTCCCTGTATGGCTCCGCTCTTTTTCCGATAATCACGACGTAGGCTGTGGAGCACGTGTTATGAGGCTATACATGTAGCTCACCATACAAAGGTAAACATACACATTAATATAGACTTTAGACTGTTTCGTTTTTCTACGGTACTTCACACTTCACCATAATAAACTAAGGAAATTTGAATATTTACTGGGCGCCCCAGGCGCCACTATGGTCAAGGCGCCCTGTGCGAAAGCACAGCTTGCAAACCCTTAAGGGTCGTCCATAACGTACGTCACGCTATTTTTGACAATTTTTAACCACCCCCCCTCCTCCCTGGTCACAAACTGTCACAAATCTCGGAAACCCCCACAACTCCCCAACCCCCCCCCCCCCCCCCAAACCCCTAAAGTACGTCACACTTTCGAAGAATTTTTTTTTTAATCAACACCTAATTAAAATTTAATCTAAAACACACTTCACTATTAAACTGAAACTGTATTAAAATATAAAATTTCCACTTAAAAGAACTGTCCCATTATTAAAATGACTGTAATAGTAGAATAGTTAATTGTCAGCAATGTCACAGTTATTTATTAAAGCAGTAACTCAATCTAGATTGAATTTGAAAACAAAAATTGCAAAAAATTATACTAGAAAGTTATATTTATAGAATACAAATCATTTATCTGATGATTTTTCATTTACTATAGGTGAGGGCAAGTTTTAGATAATCTTCCGATTATGCAATCTTTTTACACACGATAAGAAGTATATTAGAGAAACTTTACCTCACCAAATGATTAAATAATAAAAAGGACAGTGACTGAATGATGCAGCGGACAACATAGAAATAATACTTCAGGAAAGACGAAAGCAAAGCTACGCATAAAACAATGCTTCGCAACAGCATACTAGCGCTCCTAGCGAGAAGAATCGTGAACAACACATTCAGGAGATAAGCATTTCATGCTATTTTGACATAAAACTAATTCAAATGATACACAAAATTTGTGAAAATTATTTTAAAGCTACTAAATTACAAAAAAAAAAAAAAAAAAAATAAAACACAAAATTTAAAAAAAAAAAAAAATTGGTGCCGTCCGAAAGGCCCGGCCCCCCCCCCCCTGTCACAAACTGTAACACTTTCTTACACCCTCCCCCCCCCCTTTCTGGAGCGTGACGTACTTTATGGCGCGGCCCCTAAGGGCCGGCGTTGCCGTTCGGGCTCTGCAAATCCACACACAAAAAAGAAAGATAGTTCATCGTAAATGGAACACAAAAAAAATACCCACCCATCCCCACCCATCCCTACGCCACTGTTAAGCTTTAAACCCCACCCGATAGGGTTATTAGGCAATAAACTTTTCGGTACTTGACGGACTTCTTAGGATTATTTTCGTTGTTGTTTTTTTTTTTTTCAATTTATACTTTTAATATTGTTGTTATTAATTTTTCCATTATAACATTCGGTCCGGTGTAAGAGATTTACTAATCAGTTCGCCCGGACCGGACCGACTTCAGCTCGCCGCTGAACGATTGCGAACTAAATGGAAAATACAAGTCATTCTTTTTTTTAAGTACATACTGTGGTTTCCCTTAACTATTTAATTTTATTTTTCGGTTCTCTTTTTTTGTTTCCCCAGACACCAACAAAGACGGCGTCATTGAGAAGTGTGACTTTGACAACGCGCTAGAGGTAACCGTCAACGATGTGGTCTTATCAATTAGCTTCTTTTACGTCTGTCTAGTTAACGTTAACGATACAACATAGCCGTCAGGTTTATTCGTGTTAGATGGTAGACGAGTGTGTGTTGCGTAGACGAATGGCCTGAAGGATCAGTCCAGGTAACAAAACAAAAAAAAAAAGTATTCTTGGATCCAAATTTTAATTGTAAAATGATTAATTAGCAGCCTAGTTTCCCCGCGTGATGAGTCTTCCTGCGCATCGCTGATTACTGGTGTAAACTAAGAAATAATTGTACCTGAGAAAATAAAAATCAAATATTTATATATATTTTTTTATCAATTTTACTTAGAAGCTGATTAATGAAAATAATTAGGTATAATTTTTTTTTTTTTTTTTTTTAAAATCCATCACTAAGTTAAGAGGTCATGAAACACATTGGTGAGGGAGTAAAAATCTGTTCCTCCTAAATACATAGCATGTAGTGTTACATAGCTGGGAATTTAATACGAGAAGGAGGTGGGGAAAAAATTGAAACAATTTTGTAATGAATATGAAGCATACAATCTGGCCCCTGTTGAAGATCCTGCTACTCCATTATGGCAAACCCGATGGCTATAACTTAAGCTAGAATTTAACCAAACCTTTCCCACCTTTTTTAAAAATGATCATCACACTGACCGCTAACGAAACGCCTTAAAAAAATCCCCCTAGAAAATCTCAAGTCTCCACCACTGGAAAAATAACGATGCCGCCTTCAAAGAGGCCCAGGACACATTGGACGTGATCTGGGAAGGTCTACGGTTAAGAGCGGACAAAAACAAAGTAAGTTTTAGCAGGGAAACGATTTGACTGAGTTTGTAAGTAAGACTTAAAACAAACGACTGACCAAGTTTGTAACAAGACTTACCAAAGATTACTAAGTATGTTAATAAGGCATAAGGTGAATACATTAATAACAACAACAACAACAACAAAAATCAACATTGCAAGACAGGTAAAAAAAAAACCACCAATAAAAAAAAACCACCAAAAAAAAAGGAGAAATCCAAAACATGCATTTAGTTTATTCTTGGAAATTCTTTTCCGCGAATTATGAAGAGCATTTATTAGGAATTGTCTTGACAACAGTGAGGATGTATCATCATAGCTAAATGTATTCCCGTTGCTGTTGTTTAGGATGGTAAAATCACAAAAGAGGAGTGGACGAAGATGTGGGAGGAGTGTATCAAAGATGTAGTGGACGGCAAACAATTCCCAGAATGGCAGCAGAAGTACATGGAGTTTATGTTTTATGCCAACGACACCTCAGGTAGGGTATGGTGGAATGTGAATGTTTTATGCCGATAACATCTCTGGATAGTCGAATTTAATATTTATGCAATGACATCTCAGGTATTATATAGTGGATTTAATGTTTTTGCAATGATATATCAGGTATGACAATTGTGCAAACGTCAAGTAGGATATAGTGAAATTTAATATTTATGCAATGACATCTCAGGTATGATATAGTGGATTTAATGTTTTTGCAATGATATATCAGGTATGACAATTGTTCAAACGTCAAGTAGGATATAGTGAAATTTAATATTTATGCAATGACATCTCAGGTATGATATAGTGGATTTAATGTTTATGCAATGATATATCAGGTATGACAATTTTTCCAAATTTCATGTAAAATGCCGCTTATGAAAAAAAAGGAAATGACTTTAACACCCCAGTTTTGGCTTGTATAAAGAAACAATGTTCATAAAAATACCCCTGCACTTCAGATTGTCCATGTGTCACACTGGGGCTCAGCAGATGAAAGCTCAAACACAAGCCAACTCCATAATGTCCCCTAAACGCATGCAGCAATATTTACCCATTAAGCACCCAACATTTGTATGACGCAACGACCCAACATTTGTATGATGCAACGACCCATAACATTTCCAAGTAAAAACACAGTGCTGTTTATTGGCCATTTAGCACTTGGGGGGAGGGCTGTATTTCCCAGTCAACACATGGGGGGGACACCATGTACTTCCCAGTAAACACATAAGGGGGCATGTACTTCCCAGTAACACATGGGGGACCATGTACTTCCCAGTAAACACATTGGGGACCATGTACTTCCCAGTAAACACATCGGGGGACCATGTACTTCCCAGTAAACACATGGGGGACCATGTACTTCCCAGTAAACACATGGGGGGCCATGTACTTCCTAGTAAACACATGGCTTCCCAGTAAACACATGGGGAGACCATCTACTTCCCAGTCAACACATGTGGGGACCATGTACTTCCCAGTAAACACATGGGGGGACCATGTACTTCCCAGTAAACACATGGCTTCCCAGTAAACACAGGGGGGGACCATGTACTTCCCAGTAAACACATGGGGGGACCATGTACTTCCAAGTAAACACATGGGGTGCAGTATCGCCCACTGAACGCTTGTGTCTATTCCAGGTGATGGTTTCATCGACCGTGACGAGTACACTGCCATCTACCAACTGTTTGGCTTTTCAAGTGATACCGTCAACCAAGCTTTCGACAAAATATCAGAGGTAATCCTTTCAATCAGGTTTGGGCAAAAAAAAAGGGGGGGGGGTGTAGTCTAATTAGTGACGTATTGGCAGGGGGAGATAATCCTTTTGGTGATCGTTTTAAAAGGGGAGTTTTTTTAATTTATTTTAAGTTATTATTATTTCTTTTTGTCTGGATATTTTAGCAGGAGAGGTAGTCTTTTTGATGAAGACATATTACAAGGGGAGGTAGAGCCTTTTAAAAGTGTCAAAGTATCAAGGGAGGTAATTTCATAGTATCAGAGGAGGTAATTATTTTGCTGATCAATCTTATCTGAAGTTATTCTTTGTGTCCAGGCAACATATTAAGGAAAGAGTGTTGGTGAGGGGTGGGTAAGGGGTGTTGGAGGGTTGAGGAGGGTTGGGGGGAGGACAAGCCTGAAACAATACTTTATCAAAGACGGTTCACTTTGACTTTAATTCTTCTGAGAGTTGATTTAGGGGATGTAAAAAAACAACAAAAAAAAACCGAACTCTCAGTGTAAACAAATAAATATTAAAATATTAAGTTTAAAAAAATTAAAGTTTTAAAAATTTTATTTTTAAATTTCTTCGCAGGGTGTTAAAGACGGAAAACTGTCGAAAGATGACTTCGAAGGATTATGGCGGGAATACTTCATATCAGAAGACGAGAACGCCAAAGGCAACTTCCTGTTCGGCAGACAAGGGCATTAGCGTGACCCTCAGTTCGAAACAGCATCCCCATTTAAAGTCGTTATGTCTTCTTTTTAACCGTACAAACACAAGGACTATCAGTTCAGAGATATTTTTTTATTTATTTACAAAATAATATTTTTTTCATCATCTGTTCACGTGTTATATTAATAACAACGATGGTACATCAAAATGGCGGGCAAGTCATGGGAATTGCGATCAAATCAGCAAATAAACATGTAATGTTAATAATGAAAACATAGTTTTGAGCATCTGATTTCAACGAAACATGAACAGAGGAAAAAAACAACAACATATTAATTTACTATTTTACAGGCATTTTGGATTTCTTAGTATTTAAACAAAACAAAAATTAATAAATTCAAAAACTACTTTGTCACGATAAAATACCAGGCGTGAGGAAGTAGATGAAATACGCTTGAGACCATGGCGAGATATATATATATATATATATATATATATATATATATATATATATATATATATATATATAATCGAAAGTTCGAAATTTGTGATATTTATTTCAGCTCATTATAACATGCTTCCATTTTTTGTGGAAATATTTCAAATTTTTTTTTTTTAAAGGTGTCTTTGAGTGGTTAAAATTGACACATGGAACTTTAAACTTCCCCCCATTATGAAAATGTTGCTCACGTCCGACTTTTTATAAAGACCACTTTGTCCCAATATTCCTCCGAATGTTTGTTTACATGTTATACACATTTTTTTTTTTACCTGATCAAATCAAATATTCTGCTTACAATTTATTGTTAAACAGTAAAAACAAAAATATCCTTTACCTAAGCCGCTATTTTAAACAAATTATTTATTTTTTTAAAAGATAAATTCGCTCAGAATTTATTATTTTCTTTTGTTTCCTACCTCGAGTGATTGCAGGAATAAAATAAAACCTTCCCAAAATTTTTGAAAGTTTTATGGAAGCTGAATGGATTTGAATGTTGGAAAATAAAAACAAGATTAAAAAAAAAAAAAATGGATCTTTGTCTGTTTTTTTCTATTGATATCAGTGAAAGACATTTAGTGTTACGTCATTTGAACACACGTTGCTGACGTAGACCATTAGCCGAAACGTTCATTTGACACGGTCCTGTCTTCTTTTGTTGCCTGCAAAAATTTCACATCTCTTGTTGTACTATTTGACAAAAACCCTCATAGGTTCATTATCCTTGAGAAGGACAGACAATGAAGACAGTTCCTGGAATGAACGAAAGCGCGATTCTACACAGTTAATTAAACGTAACTGCCTACGCGTTGGAATCATAACAAGGGGGCGCGCCCCTCCATCGCCACCTAGGCCCCCCTTGTATATAGTTAGAAAATGTTTTAAAAAAAAAAAAAAAAACTTTGAAAACATAATGTATAATGAGATCAAGCGCATGCATACCATTTTCTACAATTGTTTGTATCGCAGGGCCAGCTGGATCCCACATGACCGTTTAGTGGATGGACATTTATGGAATGAACATCTCGTGGATGAGCATGCGGTGGATTAATATTGAGTGGATGAACATGTGGTGGATTAACATTCAGTGGAGAAACATTTAACTGAGGATAATTTTTTTTCGGAGGGGAGGGGGTAGGGTGGAGCATATGATGGATGAACAGTTATTAGATGAACATTTGCAAGATGAAAAATTAGGAGAATACGTTAAACATTCAGCAGATGAACATTTAGTAGCTGAACTTTTGGTTTTGTGAACATTTACAAGATGAAAATCTAGCAGATCAACATTTGGTGCATGAACATTTAGCAGATGAACATTTGGTGTCTGAACATTTAGCAGATGAACATTTGGTGCATGAACATTTAGCAAATGAAAATTTAGCAGATGAACATTTGGTGAATGAACATTTCGCAGATGAACATTTGGTGCATGAACATTTAGCAGATGAACATTTGGTGCATGAACATTTAGCAGATGAACATTTGGTGCATGAACATTTAGCAGATGAACATTTAGCAGATGAACATTTGGTGCATGAACATTTAGCAGATGAACATTTGGTGCATGAACATTTCGCAGATGAACATTTGGTGCATGAACATTTAGCAGATGAACATTTAGCAGATAAACATTTAGCAGATGAACATTTAGCAGATGAACATTTGGTGCATGAGCATTTAGCAGATGATGAGCGTATTCGTTTTGCTTCTAATTATAACCCCTCCAAAAAAAAAATCCTACTATTTGTGCTAAGTTAACGAGACCTAAGACCCCACATTATTTATCAAACATTGCTATTGTACTGGACAGACTTGCAGCGAGCACATATCCTGGCACCACTCACTGGGACAGTTGAATTTACACCAGCCGTTCATGCCGGGGGTCTGAGTCCAAAGCTTAGTCGCCTTGTAGCACAGCGTCTTCGACGTCGCCGGGGCTGACGAGGACGACGACGACGTCGACGCCGCCGAGGTGGGCACCGCCGACGTGGATAAAATAGTGTTGGCGGACGCGATCCAATCGAACGCCGACGGATCGATGTCGATTTTGTACGTGGGGTACTTGCAGTAGCAGGTGCAGAACTCGGGTACGCACCGTCCCGTCTGGCAGTTCCGCAGGCACCAGTTGGCACCGCCCGGTATCAGTTTCTGGATGCCGCGCGGCTCGCACACGACGTGGTCGGACAGCGGGGTGCAAGGCGCGGGGCCGTTCGGTGATGTCGTGCTGGTGGTTCGCGGAAGGGTTGTAGTTCTCGCTGTGGGAAAAGGTGTTGGTGTTGCTGTTATTGCTGCCTGGGTGGTGGGCCGGCCTGTGCTGTTGACGGCAGTGGGGCTGGCGGCGGTTGTTAGTTTGTTGCTTGGGTAATCAGGCTCCATCTGCCAGGTCGCACCATCTGGCAAAATCTGTAAAGAAAAAAAAAAGGTAAAAAAATACACACGGTGGTTGATTTGCGTTAAAGTTGTTTTGATTACTCACGAAAATTATTATTGTAATGTGAATCACCTCAAAATACAACTTTGCTCTTTAGAAGGACACTGGAAGACATTGGAAGGTCATTGGAAGGATATTGGAAAGATATTGGGAAGGATACTGGAAGGATATTGTTAGGGCATTGGAAGGATACTGGAAGGACATTGGAAGAATACTGGAAGGATATTGGTAGGGCATTGGAAGGATACTGGAAGGACATTTGAAGGATTTTGGAAGGATATTGGTAGGGCATTGGAAGGATACTGGAAGGATACTGGAAGGATACTGGAAGGAGACTGGAAGGATATTGGAAGGACATTGGAAGAATACTGGAAGGATATTGGTAGGGCATTGGAAGGATACTGGAAGGATATTGTTAGGGCATTGGAAGGATACTGGAAGGACATTGGAAGAATACTGGAAGGATATTGGAAGGACATCTGAAAGATATTGGAAGGATTTTGGAAGGATATTGCAAGGGCCTTTGAAGGTTATTGGAAGGATATGAGAAAGGCCATAGGAAGTACATTGGGTGGACATTCAAAGGAAATTTGAAGCAAATAGAAACAATTTTGTAAAGCTCTATCAACACATTGCCTGACAGTTCAATGTTACCTCAAAATAAAACAACACTTTCCCGGAACATCTCTTTTAACAATAGTTTGATTTGTTTTTTTCAATGAACATTTTAGCACAATACTATTTTGTTAAAAAACAAAACAACATGATTTTCATTGGAAATGTACTGATGAAAATAAAGGTGCAACCCAAAATATGATCTTTAATGAAAATCTGTTGTTGAGAAGAAGGGGGAAAAAAACTCACTAAGCAAGAAAGATGAAAGTCATGAAATGAATCTTACCTCTATGTCAGCACAGTTGACGAAGTGCTCCTGGGGACCACAGCCCAGACAAGACTCACACGGTGGGGTGGCTTTGTTTTCTCGGTAACCTGCCAGAAACGAAACAGAGTAGAAGGTTCAATGCAAATGTTTAAGTAAAACAATCAGTGACATTGAACAGTTACATGGAACAGTTCCATCGAACTGTTACATCCAACAGCTACAGCCAGTGGCGACTCTGATCAAATTACGTCCATCAGTTACACCATTTATTTACTTCAAATCAAATACATCGATTAGTTACGTCAATCCATTAGATCGATCAGTGGCATCGATCAGTTACAGCGATCATTGACAACAATCAGCTACGGCAATCAGTTGCATCGAGCAAAATGACATGTGAGCTACAAGGACAACCTCAGTATACCTGTGACGTAGGTCCATTGAAGCAGACAGCTTGGGCAGGACACGTTTTTTGGTAGCACGATGTGAAGATCGTGGAAGCCACCCTTGCTGCCTGGGTAGTACTTGGTCGTTTGGGTCTCAACGATGGTCAGTGGGCTCCGGCTGAAAGATAACAAAACACATATCGTCACATTTTGGTCAGTAATATAATAAACATTGTTGAAGGAAGGAAAAAAGACATTTATTTTCGGAATAGATAAAATATATATATATATATATATAAAGAAATTTAACATTTGTACAAATTACTCCACGAAACCACGCTTGTATGGGTCCACCTCTGTCTATTGCGTGTGGATGATTAAATTGTTATTGTTGCATACCATGGACAGGGTTTTTGATTTTTTTTTTTTCATTTGTGGTGTCTGCCCTACCTACATATTTCTGATGCGTGGCCCACATAACTTTGATGGGTTGGCGTAATTTTGAAGGTTGGCCTTAAGTATTATCTTAAGAATCAGTCTATACTTTGCGTCGGCCTACAGAATTCTGAGGGCTGGGCTTCATAATCCTGATGGCTGGCCTACAGAACTCTGGGTTGGCCTTCACAATCCCGAGGGCTGACCTACAGAACTCTGGGTTGGCCTTCACAATCCCGAGGGCTGGCCTACAGAACTCTGGGTTGGCTATCCTAATTCTGAAAGTTGGCCTGCATAGTTCTGAGGGATGGCCTACTATCTCTGGGTTGGCTATCCTAATTCTGAAAGTTGGCCTGCATAGTTCTGAGGGCTGGCCTACAGGAATCTGGGTTGGCCTCATTCATGACTGCGACACAAGATTACCAACAAAGTTCTTAAATTTTCTGGGGGTTTTAAGACTACCAAAAGAAAAACATCTGCCAGGCTAATTTCCCTATCATGTTTCCACGTTCGAGCTTGCAAAAGTTTAGCAGACATCGCAGTGCAACTGATAAACAGTGTCTGGTTTTATAATTAGCATACAACATTTCACGCAGCGTGTCTAAATATAGTAACCGGATCCGGTGGCGTGATGTTTCTGTTTCCTCTTCCCAGTGTCGTTAAAAAAGAAAAGTCATCACTATAGATGATGTCATTTTCTCATTTGTTTAATCTCAGAAGTTTCGACCTTCAAAAAAAAAAAATAATAATAATAAACAAAAACCAAAACGGCTTGATGTTTGTCATCTTTGAAGGAGGCTATTTATAACTACGATTCTGTGCAAGGACTGTGCGAGGAGTGCAGACCTCTGGCGACTCGATCTGTCTCCTTCCCCCCCCCCCCACCCCACCACAGCTCACCGAGAAAACCATAGTTCGCCCAATACGTTTAATTGATTAAGTATACAGTGTCAACAGCTGGTCTGTTTCTCTAAAGTTATAGGGGCAGGGCCTTTCCATCAGCGGCTTATCGAGAGGACATTGGCAGGGGAGGGGGAGGGGAGGGGAGGGGAGGGGGATATCAGCGGCTTATCGAGAGGACATTGGCAGGGGAGGGGGAGGGGAGGGGAGGGGAGGGGGAAGGGGAGGGGAGGGGGAGGGGAGGTGGGAGGGGAAACATCACGAGTCTTTGATTCTGACTTAAGTTGGATTTAAAAAAAATAAAATAAATAAATATATTCCGTGTATCTAGGTAGGTTATTTTTGTCATTACAACAAAATATAACTTCAAAGGGGTAGGGGGGGGGGAGGAACCCAAGGGGGAGTGGGGAAAGCTAGTGGAGGGGGTGGTCAAATGTCAAAAGCAGTTCTGTCTGAATCCGCCATTGCTATAACATAAATAGTAATTTTTTTTTCTATGTTTGAATATATGCGCTCCTACCCCACCCCGTCTGTTAAGTCAACACCCGATGGCGGGGTTGTTAGACCACTGAGCTCATTACTGAATGCAGTATTAAAAAAAAAAAATATTTTAAGAAACCTAAAATTAATAAACATTTCAAGATGCTTGTTTCTTTCAACATTACGCGACTTTCTTCAATCGGTGAGTTCCGATGAACTGTACTGCCTTCATTTTCTTTAGACAGTGTCATTGAGTACCTATTCAAAAATGATCTAAAACTTAATTTATTCAAATCATCATGTTATTGTGCAGTTAGGGTGGTCAGGGGATGTGGGGGTGCTGTCGACACGGGGCGGACACTTTGATTTATACATTGAGGGGCGGTATTTTCGTAAAAATGCGGATTTTTTTTTTTTCATGTTAAGGGGCGGAAAAAATGCTTGACCCGTCCGGGCGTCGCTAACCCTCGGTACGCCCTTGTTGGTGAGTACATGAAACCTCGGGTGGAGTCTTGTAGAACGGGGGGTGAAGCCAGGATATCCTTTTGTCATATTTGGCAATGCATTTGACTATACAGAAATAAAGTCCTCAAACTACAGGCCAGCGGGCTGAATTGTGACCACCCATGATTTATGCTCCCGTCAGGGACCTGATTTTTTCATTAGGATTAAATAGTGACCCTCCAGGTGGAGAAATCGGCGAGGTCAGGGACTTCTATCCCAATAGGATAAAAAACAACAACCCACCAGTAAAAGAACTCGGACAGGTCAGGCACCTGCATCCCACTAAAACTAATGACCCACCTGCATCCCACTAAAACTAATGACCCACCTGCATCCCACTAAAACTAATGACCCACCTGCATCCCACTAAAACTAATGACCCCACTGCATCCCACTAAACCTAATGACCCACCCGTTAAAGCACTCGGCTAGGTCAGATACCTGCTCCCCACTAAAACTAATGACCAACCTGCATCCCACTAAAACTAATGACCCACCTGCATCCCACTAAAACTAATGACCCACCTGCATACCACTAAAACGAATGACCCACCTGAACCCCACTACAACTAATGACCCACCTGCACCATACTAAAACTAATGACCCACCCGTTAAAGCACTCGGCCGGGACAGATACCTGCACCCCAGTCAAAACTAAATGACCCACCTGTTAAAGCACTCGGCCAGGTCAGGCACCAGTATTCCGTCTCTGGACGGACAGAGGCGAAAGATGAAGTAGCCGAGGAGGTTGGCGGTCGTGTAGATGGTGACGTTGATCTCCTCGCCGTGCCGGTACGTCCGCTGGGACGGCAGCTGCGAGTACTTTCCCGGGTACTCGTTCTCCCGGAATCCGCCCATCCGGTCACCGCAGGCGCCACACTCGCCCTTAGCGGGACCCCACTGGTGCTGAGGGTGAACAGCAGGCATGCAGTTTTATCGAAACTGTGAAGGACGGTGTGAGTGGATTGTGCGAGCGTGTGCTTTGTGATTCTGTTTTGTGTGGAGGGATCGTGTGAGGGATTTTGTGAGCGATTGCGGGAAGAGTGTGAATGTGTTTGTGATGGTGAAAGCGATTGTGTGATGGTGTGATTGTAGGCGTGATATTGTATTTTGGGATTGTGTAAATGGTTGTGAATGATTGTATCAGTGATTTTCGTTAGTGAATGTGGTAGTGATTTCATTTTTGATTGTTTAAGTGATTGTATGAGTGGTGAAATGAATGATTATATTTTTGATTGCGTTTGTAATTTTGTTACTGATGTTTTTTCTGATTGTGTAAGTGATTGTGTGTGTTTTTTAAAATTGTTTTTAGATTTTTTGAGTGATTATGTGTGTTAGTGTGTTTGGAAGGTTACCGTAAATAGGGATATGTGAGAGTGATAGTCCCTTTTGGAGCCTGTGAGTTGAAACTTGTGTGTTTATGGAGAATAGTATGTGTAATAACAGTATGTGTAAGAGCAGTATGTGTAAGAGCAGTATGTGTAAGAATAGTATGTGTAACAACAGAGTGTGTAACAACAGTAAATTCAACAATATAAGTTCCAGATTAACCATATATATATAATATATATCCTTTGCAAGAATAAGTTACGGATTAACTCCATAATCCACTGTCAGCGTAAGTTAAGGATTAAAGCTAAAGGGACGTAACGGATCGTGACTCGGCTTAACTCATGACGTGTATCCCGCGAACCTTCGCTTACCTCAAACCCCCCGCAGTTGAGCAATTCATCATAGAAGTTGACAGACGCGTCGGGCACTCCTTCCCGCCAATAGCTCGATCTCATGGGTGGCTCAATCATCCTGGCGCGAGCATTGGCGCTGACGTCACGCAGCAGAAGTCCAACCATGGTAACCAGTGCGAACAGAAGGGAGTCTATTTTCGGCTTAGGCAGAGCCTCCAAGTGAGACAACCATGACGTCATAGTCTTGTTACAAAATCTTCATGCTACGCTGGCCTGGATGAAAATGTGGCCCCGGGGGGGGGGGGGTCTCTCATTAATTAAAACCGCCGAGGCAGACTATTTTTTGAAAATGGGACCCCGGGGGGGGGGGGGTCTCTCATTAATTAAAACCGCCGAGGCAGACTATTTTTTCATCAGGATCGGCGTTACAAATTTTTGGTCTCAAGTTCCAGCAGTGATATCACAGGTTCCTGAAAAGGGGTCACAGGTCCCAGCAATGTGGTCACAAGTTCCTGAAAGGGGGGGGGGTCACAAGTCCCAGCAATGAGGTCAAGAGTCCCAGCAATGAGGTCACAAGTCCCAGCGGTGAGGTAACAAGTGCCGGCAACGAGGTCACACGAGTCCCAGCAATTAGTTCAGAAGTTCAATTCGTCTAAAGAAGTCGATATTTCAGCGTCAGCATCTCGCCAGTCCCACTCTCGGTCCTGTGACAACTTAATCCTAGAAAAAGGGCGAACACAAAGAGAACACAACGTTTTAGACCATCATATTTTTAAAACATATTTTGATTTTTTTAAAAAAATGCTCTTTATTCATTTTATCACTAGAAGAGGATGCTATTATATTTCTGAAAATCAGTATTAAATATATATTTATATTTAAAAATATGAATAAAAAAAGTAAAGTTTAGTAGACGTTATTACACAAACTATTTATTGCACAAACTATTTGTTGCACAAACTATTTGTTGCACAAACTATTTATTGCACAAACTATTTATTGCACAAACTATTTGTTGCACAAACTATTAATTGCACAAACTATCTATTGCACGAACTATTTATTGCACAAACTGTTGACTTGTAGGTCACGAGTATGCCACTTCAGCACTGCTCTACAAACAAGGGGAGACAACTGTTGGTGCAAGTCAAGGTATGTGACCACACGTTTTTACATAACCATAAATAAGACCAACTCAAGCTTTTGAGGGTACTTTTTTTCCTCCCCCCCCTCTCTCTCTCTTTCTCTCTCTCTCTCTCCCTCTCACACACCCACACACTCACGCAATCTCTCTTTCTTTCTCCACGCCTCCGCTAAGTATATATGTCAGAGAACTGCACTCAAGAGCTTAAAAAAATGCACTGTTTAAAAAAAATAATTTAAACTATATTCACTTAAACAGACACTGACGTTATGTATAGATATATATGTGTGTGTGTGTGTGTGTTTGTGTGTATTGATTTCATCATAAACATGATGCATGAGGGCAGATACGGCGCCAGGGTACATACGAGTCCAGTTTCTTTTCAATGAATCATCCCAAACAAGGGCATCTATACAGACGGGGGGAGGGGGGAGACATCCCAGTCCCCAAACAAGTTAATTTTTGTCTGTTACCTAGACATTTTAACCATGGGCTAACTCACTTAGAACGGTGTGCTAACTCACTTAGAACGGTGTGCTAACTCACTTAGAACGGTGTGCTAACTCACTTAGAACGGTGTGCTAACTCACTTAGAACGGTGTGCTAACTCACTTAGAACGGTGTGCTAACTCACTTAGAACGGTGTGCTAACTCACTTAGAACGGTGTGCTAACTCACTTAGAACGCTAACTCACTTAGAACGGTGTGCTAACTCACTTAGAACGGTGTGCTAACTCACTTAGAACGGTGTGCTAACTCACTTAGAACGGTGTGCTAACTCACTTAGAACGGTGTGCTAACTCACTTAGAACAATGTGCTAGCTCACTTAGAACGGTGTGCTAACTCACTTAGTGCGCTATAGTCCACTCACTTAAAAAGCATGTGCTAGCTCACTTGAAACGATGTGATAACTGACTTAGAACGTTGTGCTAGTTCGCTGAGAACGATTGTCATCTCACTTAGAACAATGTGCTAACTCACATAAAGCAATGTGCTATCTCACTTAGATCAATGGGCTATCTCAATTAGATCAATGTGCTGTCTCACTAAGAACAATGTCCTAACTCACTTAGAACAATGTGCTAACTCACATAAAACAATGAGCTATCTCACTTAGATCAATGTGCTAACTCACTTAGAACAATGTGCTAACTCACTTAGAATAATGTGCTAACTCACATAAAACAATGTGCTATCTCACTTGGATCAATGTGCTAACTCACTTAGATCAATGTGCTAACTCACTTAGAACAATGTGCTAACTCACTTAGATCAATGTGCTAACTCACTAAGAACAATGTGCTAGCTCACTTAGAACAATGTGCTAACTCACTTAGATCAATGTGCTAATTCACTTAGAACAATGTGCTAACTCACTAAGAACAATGTCCTAACTCACATAAAACAATGTGCTAACTCACTTAGAACAATGTGCTAACTCACATAAAACAATGAGCTATCTCACTTAGATCAATGTGCTAACTCACTTAGAACAATGTGCTAGCTCACATAAAACAATGTGCTATCTCACTTAGATCAATGTGCTATCTCACTTAGAACAATGTGCTAACTCACTTAGATCAATGTGCTAACTCACTAAGAACAATGTGCTAACTCACTTAGAACAATGTGCTAACTCACATAAAACAATGTGCTATCTCACTTGGATCAATGTGCTAACTCACTTAGATCAATGTGCTAACTCACTTAGAACAATGTGCTAACTCACATAAAACAATGAGCTATCTCACTTAGATCAATGTGCTAACTCACTTAGAACAATGTGCTAACTCACTTAGAATAATCTGCTAACTCACATAAAACAATGTGCTATCTCACTTGGGTCAATGTGCTAACTCACTTAGAACAATGTGCTAACTCACTTAGATCAATGTGCTAACTCACTAAGAACAATGTCCTAACTCACTTAGAAAAATGTGCTAACTCACATAAAACAATGTGCTATCTCACTTAGAGCAATTTGCTAACTCACTTAGAACAATGTGCTAACTCATCTAGAACGGTTCATCCGCTCACTTAAAACGATGTGCTAACTCATGGTGTGCATTGAAATATGCTCAGGCGCAAACATAACGCATGCGATGATGTTACTCCCACACCAGTCTCCTAGAACATAAGTATCACAACACGCACGATAAACTGATGTACTAGCTAACAATCACGCGCTACAAGACTCTCTACTCACGCAATGTCATCAGCGCGGTTGTCGTTGCAGGCTATAATGGCACATCCACAAATGTTACTATCAGGTTTCCTTATTCTTATTTTTTAAAAACAATCAGCCCTTGGGCAAACAAAATATCGTTTCCCCAAAGGAATACAACATACTGTGGTTACCATGGTGACTTTGTAAACTTACCAAAAAAACAATAATGAAAGTATTTTTTTAACGTCGGAATGTCTTACGCACCAACGTGTGTACCACACTTGCACCTGAGCGTTCACTAAAAGTCTGCCGTACCTGCGCCAGGCTTTGTACTGTCCATTCCGACCTCCTTCCGCCTGGTCATATCTACATCCCGCTGTTTGAAAAGGGTTCACGCTTGAATGAAGAGGAAATCGTCTCGGTAAAAAGGTAAGTGCACCTGTCATTGTCTGTCGGCTCCACTCAAGGAGATCCATACCGGCTACGCTAAAAAAAAACAACAAAAAAAACAAACCATTGACAGGTCCTGACTCTTGAGAGAAGTCTTGACAACTCTCGTGAATTCACTAGGAGGATTTTTTTTATTTTTTGTATTAACAAAATTGGGGGTAGACAAAACAGTCAACAACAGTTAAAAACAAAATAATGTGTTCGAATAATTGGACGAAAACTGTCCCACTTCGAAACCGCACCCCCCCCCCTTTTTTCACCCCCAACAATAAATATAGCGACAAATTAAATAAAAGGGTCAGCTCATGTGGACTATTTGTAACTTCAAGGATATACCATTTTAACCCAAGTGAAAAAAAAAATAACCTATGTAAGTGGTAAGTATGTGTACGGGATATTATTGGTTGTTACGGTGCAAACTTTTGGTTCTATGAAATATAAATTTACTTTCAAAAGTAAACTTCGAATTTGGATAAAATTTGACAT